CAACTTCGACACACACAACACACACGCGCACAAAATCTTTTAGTCCACTAAACCCCCTTGAAGATATTCACTTGAGTGTTCTAGAATAACAATATCAAGTCTAACATGACATGTGCCAAGCGCGTGACGAAAAGACGGAAATACCTCTAAGCTATCAAAAATTTAATGGAAATAATAAAAAGGATAAAAGGGTGTTTTTGTAGGCACGAGGGGTATTTTCGCCTTTTCTGATCACTCGTGCTTGGCGCGCCGCACATTAGACTTGACGCGTTCTTTTGGAGGGGTTAAATTGAACATTGCCATGGGGCTCGGGGAATAAAATAGTAAGGGGGTTGTCAGATTAAAATAGTTAGGGGGTTATCTCAAAAAAATGTCCAGAGTTTTGAGGATGGTGAAATTTACCCTTTTGAAATATTACACAGTTCGAACTAACTAACGCTTTTGGGACATTTCTCATTATTCCTAATCAAACACTTTCATATTAATGATTATGTAAGAGCATCAGAGCATCAATATACACATATATTGATATGAAAACAAAGAATCACGAGGACTTGTTCTTGTGGATCATAAAGTTTTATAATCCTATCGAAATTCTTGAAGTTTACATCAAAAAAAGATGGTCCCCATATGAAAAGATTTTTGGCAATGTAGCTCTGTGTGGCTGGCTACAGCTAGCTGTAACCGATAGAAATGTTGAAGATGTTGACATGAAATCCACTATGTAGCACAACATTTCTACATTAAATTAGTTTAACGCAAGCAATGTTTGAAAAAAATATAAGCACCTAATTGCATTTATCATGATATCTCTCAAATCTGATTCAGTTACAGGCTTCAGAAACCGGAGCGATCATGGGTCAAATTGGGATCCCTGTTATAATTTTAACTGTGACCAAATTCATATAGCTTGAAACCTCAGTCATAGAATCTATAAACTAAAAATATGCATATCAAGAATTGGGGGAAATATCCTACAAACATACATACATTGTGTTAATTAACGCTTATGTTTTTTCGCTACTATTTTAGTAAGTACGTTCTCAGAAGAGCGATGATTTTGTTTTATTTTAATTTTTTTTTGTCTTGGTATCCTTAACATGCAAGAGACGCGCCCTTACTAAAATAAGCACTAATTGATTAAAAAAAATTATGAACAAAGAACAACATTTGTTTCAAAATATCCGTGAAGTTATTTTTATTTGAGTCAAAAACATGTACAAAAAAGCCTAATATTTGGCATGTTCGACTCAAACTAGGCTGCAGGTAGGTGAGACTCCCATGACTTGTTACCAGCAATTCGTTGGTGCTGATACATTCGACTAAACATCGAGTTTCTGTATGTAATGTTATCTTGATTTTATTTTAAAAATAAAAAAAGGAACAGTTGATTTTATTGATTGCAACAAACTGCACATGCGAACCTCTCAAATTCTCTAGTTGTTGAGATATGCAAATCAATAGCTCAACCTGTACATTCTACGCTTGAATTTGGTCTGATTTTACGTAGTAGCCTACTTCATTGACTTGCCAGTGACAGCGGCAGTTGATGTTTTCAAAACCTCAGTCTCTTGAGATTTTATGGGTTCGCTTGTGTCCACAGAAATCTTAAGATCTTTAGAGACGTTTAGTTCTCAAGTCGATCAATACCGTTCGCGGCTTCATTACGCAATCCATGTAGGCGTAATTGTCATGAAAAAGAGAGAAGAAAGCAGCTCAATGACAATCACTCGTCATACACAATCCATATACGAGTGCAACTATTGCTGCTTATGTGTTTCCTTTATTATTACTACAACCCCAAATAAACACAGACCACCCATCTTAAAAGGTTATAGTGCATAAAATGAATTTCAAAGTTTGTTGACCATCCATCTCATAAAATGAAAACATAGCAGAACAAGTTAGTCAGACTTCCATAGGAAAATGTAGCGCAACTTTATTGTTGTATATACACAATTTACATATATTTACAATGAGCGTCCATCTCGGCTTTTAAAAGCTATCACAGGCACTTTTATATACGCTTGCCTTCGACCATAGAAGGAAAGATAAAAAGGGAACTTATTATAATTATTTACAATTTTACCACCACACCGCTGACTAGACAAAGCTTGTCAGCCTCCGGAGACCAACTCTGATCCCTTGAATGGCAACGGAGCCAGAAACACGAAAGGCTTGCGAGTGCTGCTTGACCAGCAAACTGCACTCTGTACACCAAGCTCAGCTCCCATATTCTGCTGGATTCAGAATTGGGTTTGTAGCCATCGAGATCAGATTTTGATACCACCACAAATGAGTTTTCATCGAATTTCACAAGGTTTCCTGTGGTTAGCGTTGCTGGTGATTTTGTGATCGGATAGTGTAAACATCGTGAGATTACAGTTTTCTTTGTTAAGAGGTGGTAGTAATCTTGGACAGCCTGTGGAAAAAGATAGGAAACATAATAGTTGAACCAGCAAACAATAAATTCTATTATTGGATCAGAGCACTGGCCCAAGAGTTATTTTTACTTCATGCACTAAATAAAAGGTACCAAAATGATATCCTTCAGATGAAATAAAATAAGTTCCTTGAAAACACATTTACTGACTGCAAGATCTCTATTCTAAAAAATTGCTTATGCATTTCTTTGTAGAGTTTAAAGACAAATTTCTTCAGATAATCCACATGTATTTAGTGATATGTCAGATAAGTGGACCATTAGTCACATCTGATGTTGAATAGTATAAAAGGTGACTGATAGTCTCATGAAATCTATTGCTAAGATAATACAATAAATGTTCTTTTAGTTGCAAGTACAGGAAAAATATTGTTAAGATGAGAGTTAAAAACAAAAAGTTCCAACTCATTTCGTTTTTGGCTAGTTTCCTAGGTCTTGAAAATATTTTCTCTTCTTTCTTGTAAAAGGAAACGTCTGCTGATAAAGTAAAGAGAATCATATTATCTTACAATGTAGCGGTCTCGAGCATTAGAGAGCACAACATAGTGATTTCTATTATTAATGACTAAGGTACTCTCATAAATTTGTAAAGTCTTGCAAGAAATCACCTGCCATTGAGAGGAAGCTAAAAGAACCCTTGGCCTTCTTAATCTGACATGCTCATATGCCGAAGTAGGCGTCATCTGTCTGTGTTTCACCTAGAAAACAAAATTCATCACTTATCCTTCCTTCAGTAAGTATCAACTCATTAAACAATAAGTAAACAGGTATGTGTTATATGGCATATGAGAAGATTATTCCATATACAATTATGTAAGCCAATCGCAACCAAGGGTGCTATGAGGATCCTTTCTCCCCGCTTTATTAGCTTGGTTGAAATTAAGCCACATCATTATATATGAGAGAATTCCCTATGAGAAGGATACTATCATTCTCATCAAACAATTCCCTTATAATATACATACTAAGTAACATAGAACAATGGTTGTGCTTCTTCCTCGCCCAGCTTTGCAGTGAACATACGTTGTTTTCCCAGACGATCCATTATCTTCAAAAATTAACAATAGCCACATTATTACACAGAATATAAATGAAAACAAAATTAAATGAGTTCCTAAACTTTTGCACCGCATTAAACATAAAGAACGGTCATTTAGTCAGCACGGTGGATGTGGACAAAAGACAAAGAGAAGAAGCTCTTTGCAACAGTAGGTGAGAATGAGTTATTAAACTGAGGGGCAGATTATCATCTTTTAATATCGGTGCTAGAAATAAGTAAGATATAGGTTAAAGAAGGTAAATTTGCAATTTTCCTAAAATGCATGAAAATAAACATTCTAATAGTGATAGTTTTAACTCCAGAAAGTGATGAATTGAATAGTTAGTTTCAATCTCCATTGATCACAATAGGAAGTGCAAGAATTAAAATATGTGATTTATTATAGTTAAAGCACTTAAACCAAAAAAATGAGCTGCTGTCCAAACACTGAGATATTTGACTCAGTAGTTAAAGCAACTTTAATTCCACTATTAGCAACTATCTGAGATAAGGCTTATAAGAAAGTATCCATGATGCATCTACAAAAAGGAAAGATTTATCTGAATCATTGACTACAGAGGGGTTGTGCCTACTGTGGATGAAGTCTACAGCTTTACATATATCTGCCAGTGATGGTGCAAAGCAGTAGTCTCTTGTTGGAATCACCAAATGTTCAATCTCATGAGCCTACAGTGAAAACACTAGATAGTTAAAGTTGATGAATAAGAGACTAAAACCTTGTTAAAAAAAAGAGATTTAAGGATCAAGAGTGACATCCCACAGACATAGATAGAAAAGACAAAATTCAATCATATATATTTATACGTGAACAACTCTGCTCAATGAAAAAAAGAATGCTGGAAGAAGATCAAACCAAAACAGAAATGCTAGACATCCATCAACTATGTTTCATCAACCTGTTTCCCAGAAATTTTGTCACCTACACAAAACAGCTGTTTTTAGCCTCGAAAAAAAAGACAGATTAATTCCATTAGAGAAAGGAACCCTTTAACCTTGAGAACAAGTATAGGTTAGTCCCATTGGAGGAAGGCATTCATCATTTATAATTTATAATTTCAAAATGTTAGCTGCTGCCAAGTAAAAGGTTTCATAATTTAGACCCCATGACATAATACTCGATGCAACCTTCAAGTATTGCTCAAATTAGGGTTTATTCTGGCCAGCAGTACAGGTAGAACTCTATCTTATATCAGCCCTCCTATCAAATAGAGCATCTCATTGTAACTTTTGCATTGACGAGATCCTCACGTCTTTGAAATGCTAACAAAGGAAGTTGGCTCCTAACCTACCAAACTAGCCTATAAAGTTTTATAGAAGCCACATGTATGAGGAGTATGGCACCAGCCCAGTATCTATGTTGCACGGACATATGCTGATGTCTACCACATGCCAACACATGCAAGATTCTTTGATGTCTAGCAATATCGAGCCTTGAACCAAATTCTAGATAGATAGATTGAGGGATATCGGTGTTTGTTTCTCAGTTCTCATAGTTCATGTAAACAGAGGTTTAGAGTTATATGACATTGCATCAAGGTTTTAAATGTCGTTTATCGGGATTCGGGGATTTATCGAACGGTCAAAATCCTTATCGGATAGCGGAAATCGGGGATATATCGGGGATAAGTAGTATTTATCGGAGTAATATACTAGCAAATAATAAACAAACATAAGCTTGAAAAAAATATAATGTTAGTCAAAATGGAATAATAAACAAGCAAATAATAAGATAACATCAAGAATGAAGAACCATCTACGCATCTACATAATTATTGTTTAATCATGAGATTCATAAACTAACTTACTAAGTTGATATTTAGTAGTTATGAGCCATTATCAATATCCATAAACAAACATAAGCTAATCACCAATCAACCAAGTTCCAAAAGCAACAAATAGTTCATAATTTGTAAACATTCAAAGAGCAAATCCAAAAGAAAGTAAAAGCTCCCAAATCCTACTTATCGGCCGATAAAACCGATATTTAGAGCCTACTTATCGGCCGATAAGTGCCTTTATCGCCGATTACTTGCCGATAAACCTCAAAAAACGATAACCGATTAAAAATCCTACTTATCCTAGCGGAAAGCTCCCAAATCTGATAACTCGGCGATAATATCGGATTATCGGCCGATATTTAAAACCATGCATTGCATTGCAATGATTCTCAGATCATGAAGCCCGAGGTTACATACTCATATCATGCCTTATCCAATTTTTTGTTATTTACATTTACATAACATTATTTTATGGCCGTGTGCATGGCGTACACAAAGTCGTGGTTACTTAAGATTTTTGCATATCCGCATATCTGTGACATGACATATTTGTGTCCTATATCTGAGTGCAACACAGGTTGATATTCACATAGGGTACTGAAATGAGTTTTTTAAAGAAGTTTTCTAAAATTAGATTTGTTCTATATAGCAGGTCCCTTTCAATGGGAAAGACCTACTTAATGACAATCAACTTTTAGTACTTTTATTATTCATTAAAAAGCATAAATTATTTTATGAGTAGATGACCATACAATTTATAACAAGATAACTTAGTTCTAGGGCCTCAAACTTCCCAGCTGCTCTCCCAGTAAGATGGCATAGAGGAAGATACACAGTATCTGTGGCAGTTGAAAAATGTTAAATAACATTAACTGTAAACCAACTTCAGAAATTTTAAACCACATATGGTTGCAACTTATATTGCCAAAGGTGCACCAAGGATATTACACTGGAGGCCGAGACTTAAAAACAAACACTGTAAGGGCGAGATACTACTTAATTGGACATGTTTCAATTAAAAAACGTGTGAATTTTGATATAAAGTTGTCACTTTGTCATCTTCTCCCCACCCACAATCACTATCTTCTTTATCTTTGAAATTGTGGAAGATTGCACTCTTTCTTTCACCTAAATGCTTGCCCTCCATGGATCTACAATTCCAATCATGTGATCTCATTCATTGCACTTAGTGTTACTAAATTCTCCCACCACAAGGTATCTGCAATCTGGATAACAGAACACCATTCATTGTGTATTTGTGATCCACATCACAGGAAATTGTTGCCCCAAAACACAATTTCAAAGAGATAAAACAATAGAAGCCAAAGTTATTTGGGTCGTACAGGTTGTAATTAGTACTTTTTTTTCATAACGACATACATACTTAGTATTAGTGAATATTTAAGGGGAAAGGACTAATCGGATTCTTTCGATTATTTTTTTACTGTTTTCCTGCTAAACTTCTTTTCTTTCTCTCGTAATTAATTGGTTCTTTGAAATGGCAAACTATTACAGTGTTTAGCTTTAATTGCACACATCAGGCGGCTTCTGAAACAAGTGTAGGGATTTTAGTCTCCTGGTCCTGGGTATTACCGCTGGGACCTATACATTTCAGTGACAATACCTAAAAAGTAAACCATCCTATTTTTAGATCTGGGCAAGTAGTAATCATGGGGAAATACGTTACACATTTATGGGTGCGCTGTAGCTTCATTGTTATACTACTATACAGAAGTGTTAAACTCACTAACACATGTGAACCTGAGGAAATACGCAAGTCATGGAGTTGTGATTACTTTATTCTTTCTGTTCAAAAACATAAAAATGGGATATTTTGAGCTTAATTAATTTCTACTACTTCAGATTAATACTAAATTTCTAAAGAAATTATAAAAACTATGATTCTACGGGCACAGAAACAGCAAGAAGAAAAGCAAAATTTTTTATTGTATTATTATTATTTTCTTAAGGAAGGTCAGGGGTCAGAATATATAAATAGAAAATATAAGGTATTTTTATGACAACCCGAAGATAATTTATAGCAGAAAGGAAATACTAGAAAAGAAAAGAAGATACCAAACACACAAACACCAAATAAAAGCGAATACTTACAAGATAAAGTGATGTAGGCACCAAGGTTTCGTATGGCTCATTTAAGGTGATTACTCCACAAACACCAAGTTTCTTTAAGCATGGAACATGACTAGGAAATGGAACTGCACCTAGCAAAAGAAACTGATGGCAAATATATTAGAGCAATGTTGTTTAAGAAATAAAACAAGAATATCAAAGGAAAAATTTTCAAGAACATAACCTAAACAGAACATAGAAGCAAAAAAGACCTGTAATGCACTCAACCTCAGGTAAGAAAGAATGACAGAAGTCATACTTTACTGTTTTTTCAGCTTCTCTTTTAAACTGGATTTTGCAAAACAATTACAGAATTGACATATTGTTTATTATTATTATTATTACCACTTTTCAACTTCCAGTTTAACTAGATTCTGCACATCTATAGGTTTTTTTTATAAAAGAAAAATGACATTATTATGAAGGGTATAATTACTTTCTACCGATCGTGATAACAGATGGTGAACACAATAGTCATGCATGCACGAGGATAATAAACATGGTATTTAACTAGCAATCAAAAAGTATAACTATTGGGGGAAAGACAACCATATTTCAAACTAAGTAAACACCGCAATAACCAAGTTAGACCCACAAAAGTTAGAATAATGTCCTCAAACTTCAACTTAACAAAGAATTATTAAAAAATAAACAAATGTTGTCTTCAACTAAATAAACATAGAATATATATCTAAAAAGTTAAAAGAAATGACTTCTGTAACATTGGAAAATCATGTAGTGCCAGAAGATAGACAGGGCCGGCCCCGAGGTTTGGGTTGCCCTAGCCCAATCTAATTTTGGTTGCCCCTTATATTAAAAATTTGGTACGAACAATAACGATAAAAATGAATACATATAATACCATTTAGCGTTCTATATTGAGTTCAAACTGATAATATTCTCTTGCAAAATCAATATTCATATAAGAAAAAATTACATTTGTGCTACAATTTAATTCAAAGAAAAACACTTCTCCTTGAATTTTTTGAAGTGAATTCTTCAATTAAGTCATCATACTCGAGTTTCTCGAAGTATTCATATTCAATTGATATCATTACCAATCCATTCAATCAATCCTGTGACATGGTATTGCGAAGATAACATATATGAAATCACAACAATCAACTAAACCGATGCCGGAATGAAGACTTAGTAATATCATTATTATTAAAACAATCAAACAATTAATCTAGATAGTAATCCAATAATATGAATGTCATCAAATCAAAGTTAAATTGAGATTATAATTAAAACCAAATAGAAATATATCAAATTATCGTCCATTAGGATTTTCGAGTTTTAGATGACTAGATGGGAGATGAACTTTTTAACAAGTAAACATTATTTCCTCTTTCTATCTTTCAACTTTGATAAGCTTCTTTTAAACTTATGGAGACCGTGAGAAACTAGTCAGAAGGCATAACTGTGCCACCCAAATAGCTAAATCAAATCTAATTTCCAGTTTCAAAACAAAAACCTAGACGAAACCGCCCAAACATCATAACCCCTTATTCAACAACTAATATTCAGCCAATATTCAAAATCAAAAATCTTAATTTCATTGTAAAACATCAAAACCCTAAATTTTCGTCCAAAAAAACCCTAAAATTATTTATTTAAAAAAAATTACCCGATTGTGTTTCTTTGACGGACCGATCGGCCGTCGGCGTCGATAAGTCGATTCAGATTCTCTCCGTCTTATGGGTGACTGGATCGGACTATCGGAGGAGTCAGCGGGGTGGTCCGAAGGATGGGAGCAGAGACAAGAAGGAGGAGTTAGAGGCTGACGGAACAGAGACGACGGAACAGAGCGGTGTCTCCGTCGATTCAGATTCTCTTCGTTTTTTTTTTCTTTTTTTGTGAGCGGCAGAACAGAGACGAGGAGGAGGAGAGGAGGCTGACGAAAATAAAGGAGGAGTTGGGTAGGGCTTTGTTTATTAATAAGAGTTTTTTACTAATAGAACCCCTAACAATTTTTGCATAAAAGTCCTCTTACAAAATCCACTTCGAAAATTATTACGGTTTGAGTGATGAAGGATGTAATCGCGATGGTTGCCCCCCTCCCCTGGGTTGCCCCAGCCCCGGGGCTTGGTGGGCTTACCCCAAGGCCGGCCCTGAAGATAGACCAAGAGATATAAAAAAGGGCATACTGGGATAAGCATGATAATACAATATTCATTATGGTTATAATAGGTCAAATCAGATGATTTTACATCACCAACGTCTACAAAGCTACAAAATGTGTTCTCTCAAGATGTCAAAGGGGCCAGACCTACAGCTACAGATGATCATTTAAGACAACTCTGCTTATGACTTTTAACACAACACTTGAATTATTGCCTCGCACGAAAGTGGATGATCTAAATTTTTGTGGAGATGCTTTTGGATTGGATTTTAAGCATTTATTGACTTCATTTTTGTGGAGTAGTGATGATGATCAAGGTTATCGATAGCGGATAACATCGTGTAGCGATGAGGCATCGCTAAAACCATTTGGGGCTATTGCGATAAAATAACTGTAAAAAGCGCAAAGTCAAAAAATAGACTAATTTAGATATGTATAAATATTAAAAAATAAAAAATTTATAGAAAAGTTTAGAAAATCTAAAAGTACATTTGATGATTTAAAGAGATCCTAAACATGAAATAGACATGTAACCGTCATATAATACCGAAGACAACTGGAGTCAAAAAGTCGTCATCTTCGATAAGATGAGCTAAGCGGTGAGAGGACTAAATTAGGAGAAGCTCATGGCGAGAGGAGGTGAGAGGAAGTGCTGAGGGAGGTGCCAGAGGCTAAGGGAGGCAGCGGGAGTATGCTGGAAAGCGGGGGAGGCGGTGGGATGTAGTTGTTGCGGATGAGTTTAATTTAAAAAAATAAATCTCAAACCACTTTTAAATAACGATCAAAAAGCGGATTTTGCCAGTAATCGCCCGCTATTCACTACTGTGGTGCGCTATTGGCCGCTTTTGTAAGCGAAAAACGCATATTTCGCAACATGTCACCGCTATTAGGCGATAGCACAGCGGGAAGAGACCGCTAACGCTATTAGCGCCGCTATTGCGAAGCTATTTACCGCTATTTATAACAGTGATAAATTGATGATGATATATGATAATTGTGATGATTATATTTATTAAAATCATTGTAAATATTTGTTTATTAATCTTTGTAAATAAATAATAAAACATGTGGTCTATGTTGTGTGTTACATTGTCTTGTGTTTTACATCAGTGGGAGGCCGGTGTTGTTATTATGTGTTATCTTATCATTATTTTCAACATTGCTTAGCAGTAGTAGAAGTGAAATATGAACCATGGAATATGGCATTATGCTTAATGTAAATGAAATATATCCCATGAGATCGTATTCATTAGTAGCTAGAAAAAATGTTTGTAGAGCCTCACAAGAAAATCAAGACAAGACAACCGGAAGAAGAAGCAGATCACAGTCAATGACCATGATTCCATATCACAAAGAGATGGTAGTTACTAGTAGTCCATCACGTATGTATATACGGTAAGCAGCAAGTGTCCAAATGTTGGAACATTCTGTAAACTGAAATGGAGACGCATTTGCATCCTAAAGATACATATATGGAATGTACCTTTGTAGCAATATACTTAGTTAACATCATGCAAAAGAACATTAATCGGCTCTCAATCAAAAGTATCGTTTCAACTGTAAAAAATAAATATTGAAAACTCAAAATAAAATTTCGAGAATTATAGATAATAGAATTACATTTAATCATGATAATATCCTGAGAACGGCAAGGACTTCAATTTGGTATCCTCATCAAAAAAAGCAGAGGAACCATCATGGTGAATAACACATGCATCATCAAACTATGCACAACAGATTGGTAATGTATTTTTCTCCCTTTATTTTATTAATTACCCACATTCAAGTTATTAATAACTTTTGTTTTTTATTATGTTCATCATCTAAACACCAAAATCAGAAACTTTCAGACGGCATTATGAAATGTAATAATTTAGAAAATGCTCTTTCTTGTATCGTATCTAGATATTTCCCTCTCACGAATTTAGTAGAGTTGAAAAGGCCACTACACGTACACGTACCAATTAGAAAAAGTGATAAGATTATAACTAATGGATAAAAGAGGACCAGAATTAGGGTTTATGTTGAAAGCAATAGGGAAAGTCATGATGGTGGTTAACTAAGTGGAGATAACCCCTAAAGAATCTAACTGGGAGAATAGGACCCGAGTCGCCGATCCATAAAATTTGGGATAATTCTCTGACGTTGTTGTTGTTTAATTTATTAAACTCGAACTCAGTAAATCCTACTCTTTTCACTACTACATTCTGACGCAGAGAACCTCCAAATATTATCTACATTAACATTGAAAGAAAAGACTGATCTTTCCTATCAAAACTCAATCTTTGAACAAATTCATTACAAATTAAACAGAGAAAAGCGCAGACAGACCTCGTCGACTTCATCCCACCATCGAAACTCCGCCTGGATCTTGTTCCTGATGACATTATAAAGAAGCGTAGGGTAAAACAAAACCCTAGCTCCGACGCCGATCACCGCCCTCTTCGCATCGATCATCGCCAAATTCTCATCGCCACCGCTGGAGATCTCCTCCTCCTCCTCCTCAATTCCCGCCTTTAAATCATTCAATTCCTCAATACGCATCTTGAAATTCCCCCAGTTCGAAAAAAAATCAATCAGAGTCGAATCTTTCGCATGTTACAGAAACCCTAGGCGCTCGATCGAAAAGAAATCCTCGATCGCAAGCTATGCTCAGTTGCTTTTTGATGCCGAATTGGGACCGGGATTAGAAACCAAGCGATCTTGGATTTCTTTTTATTTGTTTATTTTTAGGGTGTTTTTAGGTCTTAGTCCGTTACATTAACTGTTTGCGTCACTTTCTATATATGATTTTCCTTCACTTTCTTGTGTGTTTCCTTCGCTTTCTTGAAAAATGTTTCTTGTGTTTGTTTCGTCCAAAAATATATCGTGAAAGTACTTTACATCATTTTCTAGTGTTTGGTTCAACTTAAAAAAAGAAGAAAATATGTAGTGAAAGTACTTTACATCATTTTCTAGTGTTTGGTTCAAACTAAAAAATAAATATGTAGTGAAAGTACTTTACATCATTTTCTAGTGTTTGGTTCAAACTAAAAAATTAAGAAAACTTGATTGTGGTCACATTTTCTAGTGTTTGGTTCAAACTAAAAAATTAAGAAAACTTGATTGTGGTCACCATGGTAAGATTACCGCCCAACATATTAGTTGTGCTCAGAAAAAGCCATTATTTCATTATCTGTCTCGCCATAAAGTTTATAAAACAATGTTGGCTGCAATATATTGCCTCGCCAATATATTGTTGCTATAAACTTTGGCTGCATATCTTAAAAATAGTCCATCATCATAACATAAAATATGCATACCAACCAAAAGCCAACCAAGAGCTGAAACCAAGGCCGAGAGAAGGTTGAAACCATGCACTGAATTAAAACAAAGGCCAAGCATCAACATGAAACCAAAGGCCAAGCATAGCTGACCAACAACAAATAATAGTACCAAGAGCTGGAACCAAGGCAAAGAGTACAATAAACATGCACAAAATTTAAATAAGGGCCAAGCATCAACTGAATCTGAATGCCAACCATAGCTGACCAACCAAAGGACAAGCAAGAGCTGCAAGAAGCCAACACAACTATCACTAAATCCATTATATATGCGATCCAGGTGTTGTTTTCTATTTTGATATTGTATTATTTTCTCTTCACTAGGACCTGCACGTATAGATCTACGTCTACTTTGCATTCTCCTCATGAATACCATAACCATAACCAAGACAGATAGTACAGCACCCGAACACATATTAACTACGGTTTCTTCATCAAGATCACCATCCATCTAAAATACAAACGTCATATTAAAGCAGATAGTAACAGTAAATGAAGATGGTTATCTAATTATATTGCTAAGGTCCTACTTGCAAAATGAAAAGACAAAGCTATTAGACTTGGGTTTAAAATTATATTTGGAAACTAATGCAGACAAAATCAGGTCACATTTTTCAATATGATGACTTCAAGCCTGGTCCATGACCCACAATTATAAATACATATTTTTATCTTCTTATCCCTAGGTCAAGAAAAATGGTAACTACAATATGTGTACATATAGAGAAGAATGTCATTAATAAGTCACTCAAATGAGCTATCGGAGATTTTACACACTTAAAGCTTATAGTTTGTCACCACATTTAATGTTTACCTTCAAATTAATCATCAATTTGTTTCTTAGTTCGTATTCAGTTCATCAAAACCCAAAGCCATGCTCAAGAACAAGAAAGTCCATAACTATGTACCTATCAACTAATTGAATGCAGACAAGGAGTTTCTAACCATAAAAATTGATTCATTTCCCATCATTCAAAGAAATAAAATGTTTTTCGACTATACTAATTTCTTATTATGCAAACTGTGCCCTTCAATCATGATAAATTTGCATGGTAAAATTTATAACGTAGTCAAACAGACCACGAAATTGCTACTAATATTCTTAAAAGTTATAACACGAGGTTGATCAAGCATGGTAATTTTTGCAAACTGTGACCTTCATTCATGATAATCGATCTTCATCAATTACTAATTTGTTTTTACGCAAAGACCAAATGAAATTGCTACTAATATTCATGTTAGCGACCAATTTTCTCAAGAACAGCGATCGTCAGGCCAAATCCCCAAATCAACCGCAAGAACAAGAACAACGATCGTCAGGCCAAATCCCCAAATCAACCGCAAATCAACCACAAGAACAAGAACAGCGTTTAGGGTTTTTTACCTGAGGAGCGCCCAATTTTCTCAAGAACAGCGATCGTCAGGCCAAATCCCCAAATCAACCGCAAGAACAAGAACAGCGATCGTCAGGCCAAATCCCCAAATCAACCGCAAATCGACCGCAAGAACAAGAACAGCGTTTAGGGTTTTTTACCTGAGGAGCGCCCAATTTTCTCAAGAACAGCGATCGTCAGGCCAAATCCCCAAATCAACCGTAAGAACAAGAACAGCGATCGTCAGGCCAAATCCCCAAATCAACCGCAAGAACAAGAACATCGATCGTCAGGCCAAATCCCCAAATCAACCACAAGATCAAGAACAGCGACCTTTCAAAATGCCAAATCAACCGCAAGCTCTCAAGAACAGCGATCTCCTTTAAATCCCCAAATCCACCGCAAGATCTCAAGAACAACAAACTCAAGATCGCAAGAGATCAAAACGGAGGAAGATCGAGAGCTGAAGGAGCAAAAAGCCGTGCGAAGAGCAGGTGGCGGGAGAAGATGGAGGGAAGGAACGGCGCGGTGATCAGAAACCTAGGGTGAAAGGGGAGCGGAGGGGGGGAAACGAGATTTGATCACTTTCCACCAAAATCGGGGTTTTTGGAACGGAAAATATCTTTCAGCAAATCGCCACTTTCAGCCCCCTTTTCTTTCGCCGCTCAAAACGAACCAAACATCCGTAAATGAAGAAAACTGACAGATTTTTCGTCGTCAGTTTTCAAAATGGCCTTTTACGTCACTTTCAGCTCAAATTTGAGCGAAACAAACAACCCCTAACTGAGCTATCTTGATGTTAGTCCCTCAAATCTTCATATTTTTATTTCTCCCTCAAATTGCATTAAGGTTTTGACATTAGCCCTTCGGTTAGCGGCTGTTTGGATCGGTTTTTTTGATCGGTAAAATTGAGGAAAGCTGCCAAAAATGTCAGCTTTTTGGCAGCTTTCCCCCTCCTTTCCCCTTCAAAAAACCAGAACCAAACAACTCCTTATTGGGTGTTAAATATTGAGGGGAATATTCTTTTTTTCACTTACCGTTATATTTATTGCTAGTTATGACCCTAACCAACCAAACCCATTTAGAACAAACCCGTTAAAACACCCAAACCCATACTCGGTTTCCTCTATTTTATTTGGTATATTTGACCACTTTGTAAAATTAGGCTACAATTTTAAGTTGTTTCTTGTTTGGCAAATTCGTAGGCTCCCAAAAATTGGCCACTAGACCAGTTTTCTTTTGGACCAGTCTTTTGGATCCCGGGCTGAACCCCAAAAAAAAAAGGTTTAGCACAAAACTGATACATGACCCCAGTTTTGTGTAGTTTGCCAAATGCACCCTTAAATTTTTAATGAAACCTAAAAAGCAACAGCTTTATCTAATCTAATGGAGGAATCTATAAAAGGCCACTAATGCTTCTCCACACTTCACTTCTTCTTTAATCTAGATCTAAATCCCTATTGATCCATCAACTTTTTTATGGAGTTATCGGGTTCAAATTCAATTAGAAACAAAGTTCGTGGTGATGGGGCTAACAAAATATATTTTTATGGATCGGAATGCATGAGTAGGACTTGCAAGGGATGAGAGAATAAGGATATACAACTCTATAGTTGCACATAATATTGGAATTCATCATATAAGGGTTGTGGGTAATTTGGTTGGGTTGATAAAAAATAGAAGTTCGATGAAAATATAAAAAAAACAAAAAAAAGGTTTGTTTTTTTGTTGGCGAAGAAGTTTGATGAAGAGAGAGAGAGAGAGAGAGAGAGCTTTTATTTAAATTTATTATATTGTTAGTAGTTGTTCAAGTGGAGGGTGGATTTTATTAGGATCGACAAAAGATTTTTTTTTTAATTTTAATTAGCTCCTAATTGTCTCTAATGTGAAAAGCCTAACTAGTGGGTGAAATTGAAAATACTAAAAAAAGAACTTGCCTTTTCAAGCAAATCTTCTTTCTAATCCTCAACTGTCTCCTTCAAAGTTGTTCCTTCATACTAAAACACACAAAGCAAAGAACCAACATATAAAAATTATACTTACAAGCCTATTCTCCAGCAATGACACAAAAAGCTTGATGTGTTGTGAAGATAAGCTTGATGTGTTGTGAAGATAGTGTCAAGATTGAAAGTGCACAATTTAGTTATAGTATAGATATAATGTTGATCCCACGAGGAAGGTGTGTAGGAAAACCTCTAGTTTGAATCCTATAGTTGTGTGTGGACAAATATGAGTGAGAGTTTAGAGATATAGAGATGATGAGTATTTATTTGCAAATAAAAAAATAGAACAAGAGGAGAGAAAAAGAGTGAAGAAATAAAAGAAATTAAGAATAAACAAGGAGAAGAAATAAAGAAAATAGAAAAGAATAAAATTCAAGAAGACAAATTCAAGAAAAGAAAATTCAAAAAGAGAAAATTTTAAGAAAAGGTAAATCAATACAAGTAGAAAATGGAGGAAATCAATTAGATAAGATAAAAATCTAAATTGAATCCACAAGTTTGTTTCATTTAGGATTTATGAACTACTTTATTTTTATCATATTTTACTTTAGATTTACTAATTATAGACTATCAAACCACTTAAGAAAAACATAACCTATCAAATTATCATCCAAGCAAGATTAATATTCATGAAAAGAGCAACAACTAGATAATAATTCAAGAATTCATAATCAATATGAGTATAGATTATCAAATTCTTCTTCTAACAATCAGTTCTCTACTTGATTATCCTAAGCATAATCATTTTAAGCACATGAGAGCAGTCCACAAATCATAAAAAAATTAAACTAGTTTCATATAATTTTAGAATTCCTACAAGATTTTAGTTATTTATTTTTCAAAATAAAAATAAGAAAATAAAATCTAGACTATAAAGCATGAAAGAGATTTACATTTAAAAAAAAACTAACTACAAACATAAGAACAAGAGCAAAGAAATAAAAATCCAAACTATGAGCATAAATAAAAAGAGCATAAAAGTGAATCTACACTACAAAAGAAAAATGCATAAAAATAGTAAAAGAGCATGAAAAGTAAA